TTTGAGAGTGTTTTTGCTTACTCTCTTGGACGTTTTATGGAGTTCACATTGTGTAGTACCTACGTGAGTCGAAACGCTGACTGTATAAAATATGTACGGATTATATGCAGCCTTCTTCTACCCCAAGAGAAGTCTTAAGGACCCACATTAACAGATCTATATAATTGAAAACGTATCACTTAAACACAAGTTTTCGGGAGAATATAATGCACCTCAATTCCAGCTCACACTCAAAAGGTCTGCTGGTTGCATCGCCTCTAGACTTCCCACTAGATATAAATGTGTACTCGAATTTTCGGAATGCGTAGAAGAAGGAAGGATTTGACTTTGGCTCGGTCCGAACGCCAGTCCGCGCACAAGGGAGCAAGGCAAAACACAAAAATAAACGCCAGGTATACAGGTGATCACACAAACAAACCACTACATTAGTAGTAGGCGAAATTTTTCTTTGTTCCTTTATTTCATTCCTGGCTAAAATAGCAATTACACACAACTTTTGAGCCGTTTCGAACTCTCCCTTGTAATATTTTCTGATGTAACTACTAGTATGTGTCATGATCACTTTGAGCTGCTTCTTGCTTTTGCTCTGTGGGGTGGTGTTCGGGTCAAGCCATAAATGCAAGAATTTAGCCACGCCTCGAGACCTTTCAACACAGAACTAAAGTCACATGCTATTACACATCACTTATTTTTCTACTTGAACACAAGCTTCCAGACAGGTCGTAGATATCCCATTGCCTGATGGAGAAATCTGAAAAGCCACATGTAGGGCCCTAGGACTTTCTCAGATAGAAGAAGGCACCGCGCTGGGTAGAGTACATGCATTCAAAGAGGAGACCAATCAATGTGTACAAAGGTCAAACATTTACTTAAGGCTGTAATATATACTAGTTTGTTTAAGTTGTCTTTTGTAGGTGAGAGGCGAGTACGAATCGTGAACATGATATTCCCAACTCTGCTCATCTGTATCACATTTCCATCCTTCCTAATAGCTATGCCTAATAAAGTCTCTGCATATGATTCCTACACTGGTGGCCCCAAGGCCAGCCCACGTATACAGGGGTCAGACTCTAGGAACCACATGTCTTCCCTCTGATCCTTGGTCCTCAGATTTCAAGAGGTTGTTGGTTGCAGGGACTTTATTAGGCATAGCTATTAGGAAGGATAGAAATGTGATACAGATGAAGAGAGTTGGAATAACAATCGGAGGAGAGCTCCTCGCCGAGTTCCTGCAAGCGATTCCCGTTCACGATTCGTACTCGCCTCTCACCCACAAAAGTTCACTTAAATAAACTAGTATATATTACAAAGGCACCTTCAAAATATCCGACGGCCACATAAACAAGGTATTATTGTAATGCTTTGTTTATGTAATGACCTGGAGTTTGGCGGTCACTTTGGGGTTTGTCTGACCCTTGTGCATGTGCGCTGGCCTTCGGATCATGCTCAGACTCATTTGCCCTGTCGCCTTTGAAATACATGTATCCAGCCGCACTTACTAACTTTTCATACCGGCTAGGAAATCTCGGGACGCTACAATTGCGCCCCATTGCCAAGAAATATTCGACAGTTAGACCAATTAAGAGAAAAATTTAAACTCAGTAGGAAATCAAATTTTTAACCTAATTTTTGTTTAACTGTTAATTAAACTAGTTAAAAATTGTACACTTTTTCTGTTTTAGCTAATTGCAAGGAAGGCCCATAAACTCCTTTACCTTTGACCAGATATCTATACAAAATGCCAAAGATTACTGCGGAAATAATGCGTTTCGACATTTTAGGAGGTGTGCTTTAGTTTACGCTGCTACCTTACAAAATTCATAACTATTTTTATTCTGTTGCACTTTGTTTTAAATGATTAGAGGTGTGTCACCACAAGAGGAACAGAGGAGAGTGAAGGTAAGTGGTTGTCGCTTCGGATGTTGCTTTATTTATTTAAAGTCCCCCATGGTGATAGAGTGTTGGTTGTCATGCTGTTTCTTTATTTCATTTCCCTTTATACTGAATAACTGCTGTATTTTTTGCATTTATACCTCCTTGATATTGAAACTGGTGTTGAATTCTTTAATTAGTAGTCCAATTGCCTGAAGAATCTTTATTGGAGATTCTGGAGTTGTTGGCTAAGACTAGAGTGTGGAATAGAATGAGTGCCCTTGGAGAACATTATCGGATTACATGGTTGAGATGGGTACTATTGAGAGGGGGATATGTATATTTTTATGCATACTGGCGGCAATGTTTGCAGGAATTTGATCGTATGACGTCCAGCTTAACGTGCTGGTCTTGAAGAGTGCTCTATGTGCGAGTGCAAGTGGTTAATGATCGATTCGATCCTTTCTGATTTCTTTATAGACAAATACTACGAAAGTAGTAAGAGGATGGCAGACCGGCAAGTTTTTAGTATGCTATTAATGTTTAGTAGTATGAGCTTCTCGGTTCCTTAACTCATTAGCTGGTCTTGTGTAGGAACTGTCCTTGTCTGTTTGAATGACTTTATTTCCCAATGTTTTCAATTATACACCTACAGAGGCATTCCCTGCTTTTCTCGATGTCGGGGTAATGCATAAAGTGAGGTTTATGAGCTGTGGTAGGTGTAATATTGTTAACTCTGCTCTTTGTTTGATTGACGGTCAGATTTTGCATAATATTTGTCGAATCATTGATCCATGGTGATGGAGAGATTATGCTGAAATCATATCCTCCTTGCCAAGTTTGGACCTCCTTAAGCTCATCGAATTAAAGCTACATTAGGAGGATTGGTTAAATACGGTAAGACATCATTGGAATCGTTGTCTCTTATCGGTAAACGCGTCATTGTGGGATAGTTTGCTGGTTCTTAAAGGAGTAGGTGGGCGATTCATCGCATCTTACGTTGGAAACGTTGGGGAGCTTGTAGTTGAGTGATAGAAAGACTATGCATCTTGGAACCTCCCTCTTTTTGTTCTTTATGCAAAGTTTTTGGTGGTATTTTCCCGACCATACTCAGTGACACGAAGTGGTTTCGTAATATAACGCCCGCAGAATCTAGGCTGCTTTGGTGGAACTGCATGCTGTAGCTCGTATCTTACCATAATTGTGTTAATATTTTTAGAGAACTTCGTCGCCGAGGTAGTACTGCTCAGGGTGAGTTCCCACTTTTACCGTTCTCATGAGTGGAAGTCAAATACATGGTATTGGTAGCGGTGATCGTTTTTGCACTAACGAGGTGATTTTAAATAACTGGACGCGATGTGATAGAGGACGAGAGAATGATGAGAAGTTGTGGAACATTTAGACGGGCATCATGACGGTCGAGGAGTTCGTAGAGGTTGGGTTGGTCGCGGTGTTAGATCCCAGGATCGCGGAAGTTCGCACGGTGCGGAGTCCCGGGACCATGGAGGCCGGCGCAGTGGTGGATTCCAAGGCCGTGGAAGCCCAATTGGTGAACGTAGAGAACTGATTGGGGACAGGAGTTGGCGTCAATATCGTGGAGGTCGGGGTGGTGGCGTACGGCAGAGTAGTCAACAAACCAGTGACTTTCGGAGTTGTAGTGATGGTAGGACTGTCGATGTTCGGACCAGAGGAAGAGCTTGGTCAAGAGTTTCTACGCCGTCCCCTCAGTACGTTGTGAACTTGGTGCCAATTTGTTTATTCACTAACAGATGTTTGGTCGAGGTTTTGGGAACTATAGCAAAACTCTACTTTCTGCTGCTTTACATCTACTGTACTTGAAAGTTGGTAACTAACTCTGTTTGCATACGGTAGAGAGGTTTGACGCTGTAGATTATTGGCTTTTTGCATCAGTTTGTGTTTCCGTGGTGGTTGTGAATGTTTTTCAGGTTTAGTCTCGTTGTAGCTCGTTTGTCTTGTATGTAGTGTTTGTAAATTTGCTTAATGGAGCTTTCTTATTGCTTTGTTTCGTACTCGTAGTTTGAGCTTGTTGAAATCGGATTGTTTACTTGATACCCACATGGGGTAAGTCTACCTTTTTAGCAGTCGGCTTGTTATTACCGCTCTTGCATCACAGAATTTATCGTGTTTCAGGATGGTTTCAGTGCCTTTCGTTGCGGAAGGCGACAGTGGGTCCTCTCTGCAGCCTTCTGCTGCACAGCTGCCTGATGTTGGCAGGGTGGAGCTCTCTCCCCGTCCGAAGTGGGTCGATGAAATGTTCGGTTGCAATATTTAAGGCAGTGTAGAATTTGCACGTGAACTAAGGAAACTTATTAATTTTGCTATAACGACTCTGCTCCTGTTTAATTGAAAGAAGCTAGATTAACATTAAACGAAGGGGAAGGTGAAACTCGGTTAGGTGTCTGATGTTTTAAGTTTTCAGGACTGTATCAATCCACCAAATGCATTTCATCCAAGTACCCTAGCTTAAAAGTGCCATTATCACACTGGAATTTTAGGGCATCCAAGGTTCCGGAAATGCCTATGTAAGTACCTATTTAATGCTCTTCACCTCGTCGTTAGAGGACGTACTTATTTGAATGGAATTTGTTCTGATTAATTTGTCTGATTCAAGAACTTCAATTTTTCTAGACCAGTGACATTAAAAAAAGGAAGGAAGCTTCCTTCGCGTCCTGATTGGGGCGCTGTTGGAAAGAAAATTAATGTTATAGTGAATTGCTGGGATCTTTTTTTACCGAATGTTTCGGTGTTGATGTACGACATAACGCTGAAGAAAATAGTAACCACATATGCGAAGGAGTACTTTGTCAACGAAAAGGCCATAGGCAAGTATGTAAAGGCGATTGCTGAGGGGTGAGTGTATCTTCATTAGATGTTTGTAAGTTCATCTCCCTGATAGGCACATCGATAAAACAGTTGTCGCATTAATAATAATAGGATTTAATAATGCTCATCGGAGTTACGGTTATTGCCTCAAAGCACTTTTAGCATGTGATTGTTCCTCGATATTTAGGATGAACGGTGTGGTCTTTCCCGATGGCGGTCGAATTTTGTATTCCCTGGAGCCTTTGGATCAGTCCGAAAGTAACATTCTAGAATACACAAAGGAAATAGCAGACCCCTATGGAAGCGATAAGTTGACGGTAGAGTTTACAGCAAAAAAGATTGGCGAAGTTTCAACCAGCCTTATCTATCAATATCTCGATGGTGGACGTTCCAATACCTCAGAGATGCCACAGTCTGCCATTAATATGCTGGATAGCCTTATCAAATGGGTTAATAGGAGAAGATTTCCTTGGTGGTCGAAGTCGGCCATTTTCGGTAAATCGTCGGTTAGACCTTCGCGGTCAAACCTATTTCATATTCATCCTGGATATTCGCTGAGCTTTCGGCCGCAGTGGAAGTGTCGTTTGAATATAGATATGGTGTGTGTTTGTGGATGTGTTTGGAGGTTGTTGAGCGGCTATTGACTCACGATCAAGAGTGTGTCCACTTTTAGGTGCACAGAGCTTTTTTCCCTCCTGGCAACTTGGCGGAAACTTTAATGAAGAGATATGGGGATGATATTTGTTCCCCAGAATTGCAGAACACGATTCTAAACGAAATACTATTTCTTCGGATTGAGGCCAGTCATTACATAAATGAAGGTATTTTTTCTACGCATTTGGTAATGTTTGAGCCGAGCTTGAAGTCGGTGTCATTTATATCAGCTTTTTATCATGACGTGTTTTGTAGTAGGCAATGGGTTCATTTGTATTAGGAATAATTGTCGTTGTTACGATTGAAAGTAGGCTGCAACTGCTTAAAACAGAATTTTTTGTTGATTTTTGAATTTGTCGAGGATTGTAATACTAGTTTCAGGCAAACGCTACAAGAAGCAATTAGTGGTACATGGATTGTCGGAAAAATCGGCTAATGAGGAAATGATTGTGGAACGAGGAGAATCGATTACTGAATACTTCAAGAACAGGTATAACATAACGCTAAAACACCCAAAATTTCCATGCGTGAAGGTGAGTCGCTGGGTTTCTTGAAGTGAAATGCTTGTGATGTGGTGTACGTACGCATACGTTTTCATTGGCGTCGAAGATGGAGTACGGAGGTGGATGATTTGTTGTTTTCTCGATTGGGAAGAGGCAAGGCAATAGCTAAAGTTGGATGTGTAGATCTGCACTGGGCAGACGTTTGAGCATTGTTGTAAGGACTAGGGTAACTTGGGGACCGAGGAAGAGGAGTGCAGTTTGTGAAAGTGAAGTGTTGATGTGAATAAGTAGGATTGAAAATAGAGGGAATCTGAAGTGGAAGTGGCTGGAATGATAGTCTCATTGATAGAAGCAATGAATCTTCAAATATTGTTGAATAGAAATGCATGGGATATGGGTTGCCTTGACATCGACGTGGATATTGTAGACGAAGAAAGATCGGGATGAATTTATTCCCATGGAATTGTTGACTGTCTTACCATTCCAAGGCAGCAGATCGGATCCTGGAGTGCTTGCTACCTGCATGATTAAAAATACGGCTGTCTCACCGAGTGGACGTTTCGGTTATTTGGAAAAATTTGTCAAAGCTCTGAATTGGTGTGTATTTGTGTTGCCTGTTGTTAGTTTTGCTTCGTACTGCTCTTTGCCACTTACACTTTGGAGAATGTTTTTTGTAGCCTGAAGGGGTGGAGTCATCACTTCCATTTGCAGCCTTTTTGTAATGTTTTTGGTGGGCTCTTACTCCACTGAGCAAGACACAGTGAATGAGGGACTTTGCTTTACAGGGATTGGAGCTCAAAATCGCGATTCAATTTGCACCTAACGAGTGAAAATCCAGTTGTGGTTGAGGCGAGGGAACTGCCACAACCAACAGGATGCTTTTCGGCTAATAAAATGGCGGAACTTCGGCGGGGAGTGTGGTCCCATCGACCCTTTTACCGACCCTTTCCTGAAATGATTAGATGCATGATTGTCACCGTGTATCCCGTTTCGGTGAGCTTTCCTCGTTTGCACTAGGTGCTAGCGCTTGACACCACCTCTTTAGTTGATGTGACATTGTCAGCAATTCAATCTTGGCGTCATAATTTGTCATTGTTGGCAATTCCCTGTAGTCCGAGAAGGTAAACCCTGCCTCCGCGGGACTGATAGAGGCAGCAGATGGTTTAGGTGTCCGAATGATAATAGCGGAAGTCAGATCGGTAGAGCGATGGCAATTGGAAACGTTGTTTCAAGAATTTATTGAAAAGGTGAGAGTTTTGTAACTGTTAGTTTAATCTTCCGACTAGCATTGGAAGTGCTTGAAGGAAGGAACTGGTGGACTTCAATATGATTGTCATATTTGCGGACATGATTATTGTCAAGTTTTTTTTCATGTGATTTTAGGGCTTAGATTTGGCACTTTTCGTCATAGATGGAGCTCAAGAATATTCACAGATTAAGCGCTTGGGCGAGCTGCGCAACTCTGTATGCACTCAATGCGTAAGGCTTAAATCGCTGGGTAGACGAGATGTTTTTCGTAAGTTGTTGGTCAATGCATTGCCGTGTTCGGATTGTCTCTCTATTTATGCCGCTACTTATTCTGTGGTTTGTTGAAGTGCCTCTCATTATTGCAGTTGGGTACAAGGTGTCTGACACAGTTGCATTCTCACTGCCCTGTAAGGTTGGATTATGACGAATGCGACACTGTAGATCGAGCAGGAAGATGTCAGTCGCATTCACTAGCTCTCCATGACGGTTCAACGTTTACATAGGCAGTTTTTTTGCTCCGAATGCCATGTGGCGCGTTACTTTGATGTTCTGTTTACAGGCAATCTGATGCTGAAGATAAATGCAAAGATGGGTGGCATCAATTGGTTGGTGAAGGACCTGACTGAAGTATGGAAGGATGAAAAGGTAATGGTTGTCGGTGCCGATGTCACTCATCCCACTGGCAATAGTCAAGACTTGAGTACATCAGTTGCCGCGGTCATCGCCTCAATTTCGCCCGATTTCATGCGCTATGTGACCATCATTCGTCAACAGGATCAAATAAGAGAGGACAAAGTTGTTCGCGAATACATCGATAAAATAGACGAAGTTTTCCTCGAACTTTTAAAGGCATGCAAAAGTCCTTCTTTTGTTTTTAAAATTGGTTAGGCTCTAACAATTGGGCTACAGTGTAGCCTATGGATAGTAGGAGGGTTGTGTGAAGTTGAGATTATTGTCTTACTACCGTCTCTCCTTATTTCTACTTGTAGATATTTGGGAAGCATAATAACGGTTGCCTTCCAACGAGAGTGATTTTCTACCGAGACGGTGTTTCGGAGGGACAGTTTGAGTCCGTTCTGCGAATTGAACTCGCTGGCATGCAAAAAGCTTGTTCCGACCTCAGGCCCGATTATGAACCAGGAATAACATTTATAGTGGTGCAAAAACGTCACCGCATAAGATTTGTTCAAGAGGCGCAGGTGTAAGTTAGCGGTGCCTCACGTAGCTACTGAATGTCTGTGAAATGAAAGCTGCTTAATAGACAGGCAAATTTCTCTTAGGCTAAGGAACGTTGAAGCTGGCACAGTTGTTGACACAGAAATCACAAATCATCGTGAATTTGATTTCTACCTTTGTTCACATGTGGGGATCCAGGTAAGCTTAGTTTATTTCCTGTTGACATGAGAGGTCCATGGTAATGCACATCCATGTCCACACTTTGTGGCATTGACTGTCGATGATACTGCTACTCTTTGCGTTGAAGGGGACATCAAAACCTGTACACTATCACGTTCTCCACGATGACAATGGTTTGAATTCAGATGAGCTCCAAAAATTTACATATTATCTGTGCCATGCGTACATGCGATGCTGCCGTAGTGTGTCGTACCCGGCTCCCACGTACTACTCGCACTTGGCAGCCTTCCGTGCACGCGATTGGCTAAGATTTTTGGATAATAAGGGGGACATTATGGATGGCAATTACTTCCTAATTCATCCAAACCAAAAGGAACAAATGTTCTTTCTGTGATAGCTTTCCGTTGTAATTAGCGTTGCAGTGCTTTTGGTAGGCTTAAAACCAATGAACTTGCTTTTTCTTGCTTTTTTATGATTTCATGCACAAGAATTTATGCAATAAAGTGACTGTTGCTTGTGGACCTTGTGCTGGCCGTTGGTTAGGGAGGAGACCTGAGAAAGTGGACTCTCTTGGGTGGGAAAATGAGTGTAGGAAAGGCTTTGGTTGTGCTTGAAGCCATTAACGTGGATTGTCGAGTACGATGTTTAGGTGGACTCGGATGCATTACTCGGCATAACAGTGAATGGGTGAGATCCATTACTGCTCTTTGAAGAGACTATTTGGTCTAGCCTTCCTTTTGGGTAGTTGGATCTGTGGTTCCATATTCTGTTTGGAACAGGATATGGAACTGATGCGGTCCATCTCTGCACTGCAGTTTATTATACTTGAAGGTGTTGTGGAAGATCTTGAATAGGCCAAAACTTACCGCATTCCCCTAGTGTGTAACGTGGTGCCTCTGAGGCCTTTTTTATCATACTCGCTGATCGTCGCGTCGATGAGGTTACTGTGACCTCTGTGCCTTTGACGGAAGCTAGATTGGGTAAGGAGTCCACTTGTTCAGATCCAGGGCAAATTTGTATCTCCATTTGAATGGACCTGATCGTCTTGGGATTCAGCTGATAGCAGTGGCAGTGATGAATTCTATGATAGGACATTAATTTCGAAGGCGATTCATTTTTTAACTTGCACACAATGACTATTATGGTGTTAGTGATAGGTAAAAAAGTTGTTGATGGGAAAAAAAGGAGAGCCACATTCTGGTTGAATTGTTGGAAGGTTGCATTCACAAGATTGAATCTAAAATAGGTGAGGTTTCTCTGCCCATCTCGATTGTCTCCAAGGCGCTTTCACTCCTTCTAGCTAACCTTGAAAAATTTTGAGGATTCCAATTCTTTTTTTTTAACGGTTTTGCTTATACTCTTATTACAAGCTAATGCGGTTGTCGCGGGGTCTG